TAGAAGAATGGTTCCTTGCAGATTTTTAAATAAAGTAAATAAACAAGGAGTCTTGCAAGCCCATAGGCAAGCTGGGATGCAAACAACGGGATCAGGGCAGGACAAGTGAGTGCCAAGGTTTGCACGGCATCCAGAGGAGCTGCCCCAGCTCTGCACAGCAGATATGTCAGATGGGTCCAGGTTCATCTCCAGGTCCCCCAAAGAAACTGTGGTTTATACATTGTTCGGGGGATTGATGGTGTTAGAAACCTTTCTTTAGCAATATTACATTTTAACTTGTAAACCAAACAGCATATATTCAGTGAGAGTCCATCTGGTTCAATAGAAATAGATCTTTATTAATAACATGCACATCATATGTATATTTAAAATACATATACATTTTTCTACTATTCACTTTAGAAAACAATTTCATAAAAACCTTTAATCAGGTCCCAAGTAATTTTAAACATTAAAAAGCCATTTTTTATTATAGAACCAGTAGGTATTATTCCAATTAAGTGGTGTATAATCACCATGTATTTAAGATAACGCAGGCTCATGCATTTCAATAGAAATAGGTGTTCCCTTTTCTGCTTTGTTAATCGCGTCAAATATATGATGATATACTTGACAACACCTGCCACAGTTGTTATATGCAATTGTGATTCCCTGCTGAGAGCGTGCTGTACAGATGTCATTTAAAAGCTGGAGACAACTTTTTTACAAATTTCTGAGTTCCCGTGAAGGGTGCCGGGCGTTGTAGGTAACCCAGAACCCAGCTATGACAGAAACCAGAAAAACAGAATTTCATGAACAGTGAAAAGGAAAGCAATCCAAGAAAGAAGAGGGAATTGCCATATCCCCTCTGTGTTCATGGCAAACTGAGGTCAGGGTCGTGTTTCCCGAGGCCCTGCCAAGTACTGAACCGGGTCTGTACAGAGCACACAGAGTTATCACCTACAGACGGTTTGCAGATTTACAGAACATATACAAAGGCTCATATGAAGATGGGACTTTAAGGCACAATAGTCCATATACTCAACACATTCATTGAAAACAAAAATTCAATTTACAGTGCAATATAAAATGTATTCAAGAACTCAAGCGGCAGCTCGATAAACACTTTCACTGGTAATTAGGCAGTTGAGTGTACTTCTGGGTGCGCAGCAGCCTCAGCCCCGCACACACTGAGCTGATAACGGAAGCGTTTAGGGGATCCGGGCCCTAATACATTGGGGTGTCTGCAGCAGGTCGTACGGGCAGAGGTGCTGCCCTGCTGAGCCAGGCTGCCTCCTGCACCCCTCTGGCCTTCAGCCACAGCTCCAGAAAGTGACCCCACGCATGCCCCCACGCACGCCCCCACCCACCCCGTGCCTCCCCCGGAGCCACCGCCATCACTTCTGCATCCAGGATCAGGCCCGGCATTTACAGCCAGTTAGGGAAAAGCGGTACAAAGAAAACGTAACTCATTGAAACACTAATTACAGTTAAGTGTGCTGCTATTCCGAGACGAAAATGAATTGTCCTAAGCCAGTCATTTTCAAAATGATCGGCTATCATTGCAAAGTCTGTCCTTGTCACCCAGCTCGGCTGTGTTCTCTCTGATGAATATACTGTCTCCAAGGCAACTGAGTCAAAGGGAAGGAAGGACTTTCTTTACATCCAGTGCAAACATAGCCCATATGTGGGAGTTCCTAATGCAGTCATAATAGAATATATATATATCTCTATCTCTATCACTGAAAGTTGACCACCTACAGACAGATTCACACATCAGAAGCCAGAGAGCTGAATTGTAGCTACAAACCCAAAAGAGAAAAATCACTGCATGTAGCTGTGTGCCAGTACCCACTAACTTGGTAAGTAAATGTTAAAATCGGTATATAATTCAAAAAGTGTCAAATTAAATATTTTGAGAGTAACGTGCAATATTATTGCACCTTTGTACTTCTTTATCACCCCATAAACTACGTTTTTAAGCACTAAAGTAGAATATTTCAGACCCACTTTTCAACAGCACAAATCACTGTGCAAAGTGGAAGGCAGTAAAAACTTGAGCAGATTTAAAATATTTAGAATTACGGACCTTTGAATAAATTTTATATTAAAAAGTCAACCATTAAAAAAAATTGTTTTCTAGAAAAAAATACTCCATTTTAAGAGCTCCTAGAGCAAGTAGAAATAAAAAAAATCAGACAATGTTTTTTGTTGAAGAAAACAACACACGAGAAAAACATGACTAAATATCATCCTCTTTCACTGGTAGCCCAGAGAGTTTTGTCATCTGATCCAGATTTTTGTCTGTTATAGCTCTTCGTTTGTCGTAACACCTTATCAGAGAAGCTTTCAATGGGCAAGAAAGTATCTGCCTCTTCGAGCAGGCAAAGAAGTTACTCCTCAAAGATGAATCTGACAGGGGCAATGGGTTTTTTCAGGTGACGTTAAAGGCTTTAATCCTACTGAGCTTTCTCATGCCATTGAAATGTTATTAATTTTATGTAAAAAGTCTTGTTTATTCAGGCAAGAACCATCCTATGAATATAATAAATTAGGTCAGTGAGAGAAAAAAAAAACATTTTAGCATTTTGTGTAGCTGCTAGATCGTTATGAATTCAGGCAAAAATGGACACGAAATAAAAAATATGCATAAATCAGATCACTTCAGAGTGGAAAATTACATTGTTTGAAAAATTAGAAGACAGAAGTAATTTCCCTTTACCACCTAGCAGTCTTCAAATGTCCCCATCCCAGCCCCTAAGTCCTCATGAGGCGTGCAAGGTGCCAGCAGAGGCTAGAGAGCTCTTTGGGGGATAACGGCACCTCTCGCCACAGCCCTCATCTCATCACCCCACATCCCACACAGCAGATGGGTTTCGCTGCCACCTTTTATGGAGGAATTAGGGCTGTTCCACACACCTGACAACTCACCTGGCCTTTCTCAGCCAGCCCCTGTCGACAATGGGCATGACTACTTTTAGCTGGAGATTTCTCAAACTACACCAAACATGAGCTGAATCATTCACATGATTTGGGGCCGGTGCAAGCCCAGGGGCAGCAAGAACATAACCACACATAGCCAAGCAGCTCTGACACTGAATGCCATTGACCGAGGGTTTAAAGACACCTTTTTGTAAGAGACAAGTAAATATGCCTGGTCTCAAAATAAAAACAAAAACCTGAACTCTCATCATGACTAATAGCACCTCCCAAACAGCACTGCCCTGCTTTTCCAGCCTTCCCACAATATTTGTGCTGTTTATGTTCTCCAGTTTGCAGGTTATCCTTGTTTTGAATCAGACTGTTGCCTTTTTTTTTTTTTTTTTCATTTAAAAAAATATCTGGATTTCACTGTTTCCTTCTGTCTCCTTAACTTGTACTGGCTTCTAACTACTTATATCGGAGTTAACTTTGCTCTTCACACCTCCTGCTTTTGCCTTTCTGTCTTTTCTCCTGCACTAGCACATGCCTGAGAGCTGCGATGATACGTGCAACACTGGGATGCTCTAAGCAGGGTTACAGGAGGAATCCCACATGAAGCACGTCCCTGGCCAGCAATGGTATTTGTTCGTACTGTATAATGCTTCAGAAATAGCATCAGCCACATCTGCATGAGCAAAGCATTTCAAAATAAAAAATTAAGTTCTTAGATACATATCTGCCTCCAGTTGAGTGTGCACTATTATTTACTTTTTGCTTTAAAGCTTTAAAGGAGTGATAGCCAGCGAGGCAAAGCTGGTTTCTTCACTGTAAGCCAACAGACCTGTAGGACTTTGACAGGCTTTGGATCATCTTGTATATTTGTTCAGCAATTATGGGACACGAGTCACCTGCAGGTGAACTGCAGGCGTACCGGTAACAGCTAGTTTACAGGCTCGTTCATCACATTCTCCCCAGGTTATAGTGCAATCTTTGCTTTTGACCCCATTGCTGGAGCATCATCTTTTCCCTTATATTACTCTTTGGTATTTTCATGACATAGCTTTGCCAGCTATAAAACTTTCTACTTGTAGTCATCAATTTGCTGAACATCTCTCATTTCATAGCTTGTGGAATATATATTTACATATTCTAAGGTTAATTCCCAGGTTGAAATCAGACATTTCACGTAACCCGAAACACTATTACTACTGCTGAGCAGTTTCGTCAGGAGAACCTCTGAGGTTTTACTAGCGTCTGTCAGATACATTCATTCTCTATCTATGAGAGTTATCATTGTTTTTCTACCTTTTATACTCCACATAAAAAGAAACTACTGTCTATTCCCTAGCATCAATGTGAACCTCTGGCCAAACAGCAAGTTAGCATGCAAAGAAGTATCAGGGAAACA